GTGCGGGTTCGTCTGCATGAATGTTGAGATTCTGAGGATAACACGCTGAGACAAGCTGCATGTATGTGAGAGGCACATGGAGACTGAATGAATTATCCAGCACATCATCGCATCACTCATTTTGTTTGTGTGTGTGTGTGTGTGTGTGTTAGAGGAGTGAGTTTATAGGCCCCCAAAGCTACAAACCATAATATCAACTTTAATGCAGAGTTGGCCAACTGTAGATTGAAAATGTCACTGTCAGAGAATTTTTTTTTTTTTAAATCACTTCTCTGAGCTGAATCCAAGCAAATCATGAATCTGTACCAACATCTCTACACCATTATATCCTGTAATCCCGCAGCTTCTTATGGAAGAGTTTTTATGTTGGAATGTTGCCTTATTGCCAAGAGGGAATAGTTTCCTCTGTGGAAAGCAGAGGGTGGATAACGGCAATGAAGAAATATATCTCTGTGAAGGTAAATAATAATAAACCCAGTGGTTGCAGGAATGCTGTTTTATTACCACCTTTTTTTTTTGTTTTTTTTGTTAAGAGAGAAAATGTGGGAGAATCTATTTTTCATGGTGAAGAATGCTAATGATTTGGAAACAAGCAGCTAGATGTTCCAAAGGTTACCCCTGGAGATAAATTATCCATAAAACACTAGTTACAGTCGGGATAAAGCAAGTATTGAACACCGCCAGTGTTCTTCTGGTAAAAAAAAAAATAGTATTTTTAATGCAGCTGTTGAAACGACATTCACACCAAATATTTCTACCAACATGACTAATCCACACTTACAAAGAAGTTGAAGGAAATTAGTCAGTAAGTTAAATTATGTACAATAAAAAGGGAATGATGCATGGAATAACTGATGACAAGGTTTACTCACGTCATTTTTTTCCATTCTTTCCTTTGTTGTTAGGATGTAAAACAGCCCAACATTTTCATGTTTCCCCCCCCAAACCTTCCTGTGATTGCGTGTGTGTGTTTAGTATTTTAATATTGACCCTTCACAGAGTTTAAGTAGGTCAGTGTGACCTGCATAATGTGTTGACTTCTGGTTTCTGATGCTGAAAATAATCACAATCATAATTTATGAAATTGCATATTTCTTAAATAAGTAAATCTCTACAAGCTGCTCTTTTACTGGTCACCACTGATCAGCCAAAAACACAGATTTCTGTTACAAAATTATTAAATTGGCTGACTCTACCACAGATTATATATCATTCAGTTTGCTGAACCAGACGAACATCTAAAACAGGATAACCTCCCTATAGGACTCAGTTTGAACACCGTAGTGTTATTGGCAATGTCTGCCTAACATAAAGTCACCAGTGAGAAACTTTAGGTGGTGAAACATGACACCAAGCTCGCTCTCCGGATGTGGAAAACCACAGCGTTTAACTTTAAACCAGGTGAAAACTGTGTGTAGCTCCAGTTCTGGTTAAGCAGTGGAACCACTACAGGGGAAAAGCTCCCCGCATTTTTATAGTAGATGAGGGTTGGAAATAAACTGAAGTCAAGAGAAGTTTCATTTTAAAATAAGCCTTCACAGGTACTGCAGAAGTGGCTGCAGCAGACGGAGAAATGATTTCCTGTGTGTGTTCCATGGATATCCAATACAGAGAGGCTTTCCAAAGCTAAAATGTCACACCTGTCATCGCCTGTGAGGATAAGAAGGCTCAATTATCCCTCCTAATACACCCACCACTCGTTCTTTTCATCCTTTCATTCTCCGTGTTTCTTCTGTTGTCTCATCTCTCTCTGCCCTCACTTTGTTCCTTCCAGTATTTTCACGTCCGTACAGTTAATTAACGAGATCTCCCCCCACAGTCTGTTGATCTATGAGCAAGCAGACACATTCCACTGCAGATCTTAATATATTTGGCATCACAGTAAAAGGGATTGCTGCCATTGCTGCTCTTGATGTAACCGGCTGTTTTTTTTTTTTTTTTTTTTTTTTTTTTTTAAAAAAAAAACCCCACCAAGCTTTTTTTAAAAAAGGAAAAATAGCTACTCTTATCCAGCAGATTCTGATATGATGCATTTAGGCCATAAATGCAGAGGCGTCAAACTCATTTTTCATTTTGGATCATATCAAAAATCTGAATGTTCTTAAAGTTGTGCCAGGTTGTGCCAGAATCTATTATTAAACCCATTAAACTGTTAAAATATCAATAAATATATGTTGGTTTCCTAGAAATGAAATAATAATGGTCTTGATTGATTTTTTGGGGTTTTTTTTTTTTATAGATATATAAAGATAGATATTTTTTTTCCAAACTGAGAAATGTTTCATCCCAAGCATTTTCAGTTTCTGCATCAAAAAGTCCATTTAAATAATTTACGTGTAGAAAAAAATAAGCTGAAATGGAGTACATTTCTGGATGTTCCGTCTGCAGCAAACCCATGTTGCAGCAAACAAACAAGTTAAGGTTGTTTTCACCCTTGGAGTTTCATGATTGTGTGTGTAATTTTAGTCTCTGTCCAGGCAGCCATTGATTTCATCTGATTTTGTGCCAGATAAACACAAACAGCTGCTTATTTGTCATGTTACATAAGGTTGCAAGGATAGTTAGAATTTTAACAATTAAAATTTGGTGTGATCAGAAAACAAACAAAAAAAAATGCTACTTAGTCTCTTCTGTGAATATTTATTTGATGAAATAATTTCAGGGAAGACTTAACAAGCTTTGGTTGTAGACATAATATTTCCAAGATATTTTTTCTTTTTTTTTCTTCTCGTCTCTTAAAGCCTGAGGGCCTGCCAACCTCAGCTGGCAAGGATTCCCACCTAATAAAAATTCATGCTGAAAAATTTATCGACATTCCTTCTGCAGGGCTTGCAAATATCAGCAATGTTTGCTGCATCCGGACATGATGCAAATATTAGGCATCGCTGGCCTTTAAGGTATTTGCACTGTACGTGAAAGACAACAGTCGTGTCGTGTGAATCCAAATTGAATCTCTTGGCCGAAGGTTCACCTGCTCCGGGTCTTCAGTGGGGAGAGGTCAGCGTGACGCCGATGAGCAGAGATAAGTGTTGGCATTTCTGCTGAGAGAGCAGCATGTCAACCCCCCCGCCCCCCTCCCTCCACCGTGCCTTGCTCAAAGTGGCTGAGGAGAAATTGAACTGTGGCTGGCGAGCAGCAGCTCTTTAAATTGCTTCCACTTGTGGTGTTCCAGTGCTTGAGCTCAAGAAAAGGGCAGATTTAGTTTTTTTTTTTTTTTTTTTTCCTTTCTCTCTTTTCAGCAAAAATTTTTTTTTTTGTGTGTTTTTTTTTTTTTTTGGGAAGTGAAGACAGAAACTCTGAGTGCTGAATTAGTTGCAATATGTTGATTTAGGCTGTGGATGCAAACGCCACCTAGCCGATTCCACTGAGCTGTACCTTTCAACGTGTTGCCGCCGAGTTCAGGAAAACGTAATTTTGAAGGAGTGGGAAAATTGTATGCCTTCTTTTGGGTTATTTCCTCTCATAAGAGGGCAAAGTTGTTGTTTTTTTTTATAGAATGTTGAACCGCTTATTGGATAAGAGATATAAAAAGTTCTAAAGTTAGATAAAATATTGCTTTCCACGGGGCCTGCCTTCAGGTATTGCCTTTGTAATCAGCGGGGAAGGGTGAGTCAGAGGGCTGACTTTCAAATTTCATAAAACAGTTTCTCGTTTGTTCTCCGGGAGTAAACGTCCCTGCCGATTTTCTGGGAAGGAGTGGGAGGCATGCTTTGAGTGACAGTTGGATCGATGGAAAGAAAATTTAAGGGAGAACAGAAATGGTGGTTATTGTCGGGCCGGAGATGTGGCGCAGGGGGAGGCGGGTGGGAGAGCAGAGTAGATGAAATGGCCCAGCTGAAAAAAAGAAAAAAAAAAAGGTTTTCAGGAGTATAGTGCGGCGGTGGGCGCTCAGAACAAGCTGGCTGTCAGTGCTAATAGACTAAGAAAGATGGAGGGAGGCTACAAAAAGTGAGAGATATTCAGGCCAAACAACCTGTCAGCTTCTCCAACGGTACAGAAACCAGCTCAGCTGCCATTTTCTGAGCAGAAAGAGAAAGAAACGCATCTGAGAAAGAGTTTGAAAGATGCCTCAAATAAAAAAACAAAAAAACAAAAAGAAGAAGAAGCGATGCTGTCATGTTGGGACGCAGATGGTGCAGAGATTGAGCCAATGCTTTCTCAGAGGTTCAGTCACCTTCAATAGCTACAAAAACAAGAGCCACCTTTGTACGAATCGGTTTGTCTTCGAGTCCTCTGTTTTCTCGCCGTCTGTGGGCCGGTTTAATGAGTCACAGTCATTTCAATAAATGCTGCTAATTCATAAAACTGCTGTCGCATGGATCGTGGTCGGTTGTCACCATTTCAACGGTTGATGGCTAATGTCTGAGGCTGGGTTTGAAGAAATGCCGTTGGAGAGATGCTGGTCATCTTCATGTTGGGTTGGCTATTCCAAGCTTTGCCACAGAAATCCTATTCAAATTCAAAGTCAGTTCAAAAATACTTTATTGATCCCACAGGGAAATCAAAAGTTGTTGTAACTCATTCTTTTCGATTCTTCACAAAGACTTATTGAAGATCATGATGGCTTTTGGCAGCGGTCCGCGTTGCACTCAATACATGTTTTTATATTCAGTTATGTGTGTATACAGGATATTGTTTTTATGACAAGGCCAAGACCTTTAAAAAGTGCCATACACCCATATTAAGTTTTAAAATGTGAATGTAAAGATTGTCTTGAGATATGAACAGCTTTCTGACTCACTTCTGGGCTCATAAGTTTTTGATATTGATATTGATCTTTTTTTTTTTTTTTTTTTTACACCTCATGTTCACCGTAAAATGTTATCTGCAAAGTTTGTGTTTGGGGTCAGGATGAATGTGTGCAGAGGAGCGTTTATAATTGTTAAAAAAAAAAAAAACCCAAAGAAAGAAAAGCTGCTTAATGCCTTTATTCTCTTTGTGCCGTTTGTTGACACTTCTAAAGACGTTCTCATTTGCTCGACTCTTTGTCGTCTCCCCAGATATCCGCGGCCTGCAGGGCTTCCTTGATCAGACGTCCCGTCAGGGCGTTGACGTTGCGTTGCAGCGGGTGGACAGGAACATCAGCAAAGTCTTCACCAACCTGTTCACCACCATGAGGACGGAGGAGCTGAATCGGTACCGGGACACGTTACGCAGAGCCATCCTTCTGCTCAGCCCGCAGGGGGCGCACACGTTCATCCAGCAGGTTGGTCTTCCACTTTTCTTTCCTTTAAAAGGACGCTGTGTTCTTGAGGACAAGTTGATGGTTGCTCACGCTACAAACACGTCCGTCTCCATTTTCCTCCACGTTTGCATGGATTTAAACGACCGTGTGAGTGGACAGAGTGTTTCCGGTACTTCCTGTTATGCTAGCGCGTTGACAGCAAAGAGTTCGCGAAGTTGGATCGTGCAGCCTTGTATTCTTGTGTGCGTTTGACAGCGTCCGCATGCAAAGTGGAAAACAACAATACTTTTTTGCGCGTCGACATAAATAGAACTGATCAGAAACAAACAAAAGGAAGATTTATAACGTTTCTTATGAATCGAACCGAGATAAATATGTCAAAAACAAATATTTCACAGCATTTTGAGCTGAACGGTGAAAACATTCATCCGTACCCACATGATGAATGACATCGCAAGATGATGAAACCCACTTTGCTGGTGCGAGTGATCTATGGAGGAGTTGCGATTTGATTTTTTTTTTTTTTTTTTCAGCATCCACAGAAAGTGTTTCCTGGGTGTTTTGTTATATTGGAAAAGTGTCAAAAATGTTGCGCTGCAGCGTTTTGTTGGAACTTAAAAGATACGACAGGACAGTGTGAACACACATGAGCTAATCAGTTTCTGTCACATCTCCGAAGCAGCGCCCCCTCAGCTTGCAGCGTCCCTTCCAATCTTCGCTCAGCGATGCACCAGCAATCCTCCGTCAAGCGGTCAAACGTGCTGCATGCATGTCTGCAGGCGGAAACAATCCGTCCTGTTCCTGGAACGAACATTAAACATTAAGTAGGGAGAGACAAAAGGGTGAGTGGAAAATAGAGCCACACGGGCACCAGAACAGAGAAGAGCTGTCGTTTTCTAACACTGCTGCTGTTCTGCAGCAGATTTGTTTATCATCTTTTCATTCATTATATTATAATAATCTAAGAACATGATGCAAATACCACTGCTCCTCCAACTGACCCCTGCTAGTTGTGTACATTAGCACACAATGATCGCTTGTCAGTTCAATTAATAAGTCCCCAAAATGATGGAGAATGCAGAAAATGAAACAACTTAACAAAAAAAAAAAAAAAAAAAAAAATTGTAATTCTCGTCTTTGCTCTCTGTATCGAACACACTGCTTGCAACATTAGGCAAGTGTTTGTTTCTGAGTCATTTCATGTTTTTGGTAATATCTTTTTTTTGTGATCAAAATCATGTTCTTATGCAATAATTACACAAAATATTAAGATGTGATGAAATAAAGTATTTAGGGTATAAACTGTAGCGGAGGAAATATGGAAAAACAGATTAAAAGGTAAAATGAGCCTGTGTGTAAGAGAATGACAGAGATGTGAAGCAAACAGGTTCTCTTTAGGTAGGACTAACACTGCCAAAATTTAAATGGAGAACATCATTAAATAAATGGTTCTGTGAATTAATTTTTTTTCCCAAAAAAAAAAAAAAAAATATAACACTATTTGTAATATGTCTAGGCAGTGTTACTTTTTCACTTTAACTCATATTAATGCATTTAGGGAAATATTTATATATATTTTAGTTTTTTTTTTGTTTTTGTCCTGACATTTACAAAAGCAACAAGGAGTTTTTAGTGGGAGCAGCCTGAGAAAGAAACTTAGGGTATCTTAAAGGAACAAACATGGAAGAGATCTATAAGAGGGAAATAAGAGTGCAAGATCCACAACAAGGTACATTAATAAACCAAAAGTGAGTGCTTGTAGTGGGGAGAGAAACTCTCAGCAGGGAATAAATGAGTGTTTAAGGAGATCAAGAGAGCGTGCATGAAAAATTGCTGTTTGTCTAGCATATCCGTCCATGTTTTTTCTGCTTTGCACATCTTGGATCAGTAATCATTTGTTCACCTGCCCAGTTGGTGTGCCTGTTTGCGTGCATGAGCTGGTGTGTGTGTATGAGTGTGGGGCCACCTGCAGTGACAGATGGAGCTGGTTTTGCCACAGACACCTTTCCAGAAGCTTTTGCAAATGAGCTGCTGTGTTTTGCTCAACATTTATGACCCGTTTCATTTTTCAGTGGAACTTCTGTCTGTGGATCAAACCGAAGTGTGTGGCTTTTAATTATTTACATTGTTTTGTAGGAGTCTCAGAGTACTGCATTGTGGGCGAGCAAACTGTAGGAGGAGATGTTTAACTCCTGTACGTTGATAGGCGCTTATTTCTATTAAAATATGAATGATCTGTATAAATGCATGAACAAAACACAGGCTGAAATCCAGGTGTACCTGTACAAGTGCTCTGTTGGATGCCATGTTACACTGCTGCCTTGTTTTCCACTTTACATTTATCCAACTTACATTCTCTATGGCAGTTTTTGCTTAGAATAAATAAAGAATTGAGTTGATATTGCCCACACACTCCTTTTACCAGGATTAGCTGAGGGCTGATGCACTTTGCTTTAGCAACGTCTGCTGTCTATAAAGTGAGTCTGACTTATTATGTGCATGACCATGCTGGAGGACAACCAGTCACAGCTAACGGCAACAACAACTCACACCCGCTATCCAGCATGGCGGAGACAGAGTGATGGTTTGGAAATGTGTAGCAGAAACAGCAGTCGTAGGAGGAGATGTCTGAGGCAAAGATCCAGTCAAAGTCCAGACCTCAACATGTCTGAAATGATTTGCTCATCAGCAAACTTCAAAGAAATGAAGCGTCATTGGAAAACTACTAAACTATGATGTGAGAGAGTAGTACTAAGAGTTTTTTTGCTTCCAAAGAGGATTCTTAAGCCTGCTGGATCAGGACCAGGGTCAGGACTATGATGATGTAAAGGAAGTTTCCCTGCAACATGGTTGTAGATGTAGTAAATGATGAAAACTGTACGATTTTAGAGTTTATGGTGTTTTTTTATTTTTTTTTATTTCCATAGCTAAATTAGGTTATTTCAAACCTTTAAGTTGTTGGTTTTTTTCTCCACAACTTCTAAATGTATATTGATTTTGGACTTGAACATATGTCACTCCTAGGCATAATCACAGGAACAAAGGTGCTGCTGCAGAAATTATTTCCGTTATTTCTGAATCTACATTCAGAAATAACGGGTTTCTTCTAAAGTTGTCTCAGCACTGTTTTTTTTTTTTTTAATGATCAGCTTGGAAGTGTGAAGAGTTTCACTGACCTGACTCTACAGAAGAGAAGAATTAGGGTCACAGGTGAGGACCTAATCAGGAAGCAGGAATCCTTCAAAAAAAAAAGAGCCTCCCATTGCTTTTTTTTTTTCTCCGAAGAAAGAAAAAAGTAACAAGAATAAGACTCTCCTCTGAGGCTGTATAAAAGCCTGGTAACCAACATACCTTCCCATAATGCAGTCCATTATGGGTAGGTAATTTGAGCAACTGTGATGTACAAAGGAACAGTAAAGTGTTCCTGCAACCCCAGATGCCCTTTGTTCACTCAGAGACCCAGAAATCAGGGCTTGTTTCCTTCGTTGATAAGTGATTTGAGCAAGAAGACATTGTCAAAACTCACTTTCAAACTTCCAGCGAGTAGACTCTAACCGTAATGATTGGTCACCATTCTCTAACTTTTGTCCAGCTGCACCATTTCTCAGAATCCACTCCCATCACAGGGTTGTTAAACAACACTGCACTAGAGAACAAAGGACAACTCTGGTGGCTGCCTCATCCAGATGAAGAAACTCACAAATAAATGTTCGTGTTGCCCTCCATTTGCTTTGAAACAGTCAGCGCCTCGTTAAAGGTGTTGTCGCTAAGCTAGGCCCGAAGTGGATCAGGTTTGGGCTTTAAAACCCCAAGATGACACGGAACCTTTGTTTGTAATATTTCAATTATGGAAAAGAAAGACTTTTAAACTCATGCTGGAGAGCATTACAGCGTTGCTGTTGGTGGGAAATAAATTACTGCATTAAAGATGGGAATCATTCTCGCCTTAGATAATTCAATATATTTGCTTTAGCTGCCATGCAAGCTCATCAGTAACACTAATCTTACCAAAATGTCCCAAACACACGAGTACACAAAAGTCCAGATTAAAGACAGGAAGGAAGAGGAAGAGCAACCTCCAGCTGAGCAGTGTGAGACATTTAGGGTTCAGAAACCAATCCTTACTTTCCTATCACAACTCAAATGTTGCATCTTCCACCTCAGATGGAAGATTTTTTTTTTTTTTTTTTTTTTGCTTCTACTCCTGTGTCTTCATGCAAATCAGGATATAATAGTTCACTTCTTCTGCTGTCTGTCTCTAGAAGTCAGGTGAAGAGGCAACAAGAGGCACTGAACCACACACAAAAATTTTTTTAGGCCAATATGGCATCTGCTCCACAGGTCTGTGTAGCTGCATTTAATAATCTGAATATTAGTAATATTAAAATGATGGCAATAATTAGTTGGATACCAAGAAATAGTTTTGGTTTAGTAATTTGCTGCTGTTGGTCTTGGTCTTGGAAGAACTGCTTTTGACTCTATCTCTGTTCACCAATTTGCCAAATGGTCATCACTTGGCAAATTGGCAAGTTTTAGTTTATATAATTAGCTAAAATTCTTACATTAGCATCAGTCACACTGCATTGCTCTCAATTTAATGCTGCACCAACTAGGTTTGTTGTTTATTCGGTGATGCTGTCATGTTGGTACAATTGTTTCATGAATCAGAAATATCAAAAACCCAAAGCAGACCATTTGTGAATTGGAGATCTTTTTTGAAGTACATTTATTTTAATGAATGAATGTCGGTGGAGTCTTTTTCATTTCAACTTAGGACGAGTAAAATCTTTTGCCCAACACTTCCAACATTCAGTCTGTGTGCGCACATAGATGCTCTTAGCACATACACCTTCTCTAATAGTGTTAATGCCCTGAATGCAAGTGTCTACCACAGAGTGGGAGGCTGTATCACAGAAACAATCGACTTGTGTGTGTGCGCCTGTGTGTGTGTGTGTTTGTGTTTCCAAGTTGAGACATTCATTAGCACCAGGACATGTCGGGCGTGGGAGGGTGAGATCAGG